ATTTCCCCGTTCCTTCGTTTTGCTAGTAGTAATAGTGCACGTTAAAGTACGCTTCATTTCTTTCAGTAATGTCCCTCCGAACATGCGTGAAATATCCTTGTTTGTTACCCTGGGCAGGTGTACCACACTTTTCCTGGTGTGAAATATCCTTGTTTCTCCCACACCCGACAGATTTTNGATTTATCTCCCGTTTTGCCGGTGCTAGATTTATCTGTCTCCGCCCTAGGGTTGAGACGGGGGGATTCCCCTATTCATAGCAATGGCATGACGTCACTTCAACAATACAATGACGTCACGTCAACAATCCATCAACACATTGCCTTTATGTGTTGTGGGTCCATGTTTACCTTTATTTCACATTAAAATACTGTTAGATATGGGAGAAAAATAATCAATCGCTACTGGTTGTGTAAGATAGAGAAATCTCAACCCGAGGACTAAGATTTTTTGTCCAAAACTCGGCAAGCCTCGTTCTGGACAAACAATCTTAGTCCTCGGGTTGAGATTTCTCTATCTTACACAACCAGTAGCGATATATTCTATTACTCTTACCCTGGACAGTCGTAGCACACTTTTACAGGTGTGAAATATCCTTGTCTCTTTTACAGGTGTGAAATATCCTTGTCTCTTACCCTGGACAGTTGTACCACACATTTACAGGTGTGAGATATCCTTTTCTCCCACACCTGACAGATTTATCTCTCGTTTTGCCGGTCCTAAATTTATCTGTCTCCGCCCTAGGGTTGAGACGGGGGGATTCCCCTATTTATAACAATGGTATGACGTCACTGCAACAATACAATGACGTCACGTCAACAATCCATCAACGTCACGGCAACCCTGAATTTAGTATGTAACGTTATAATTACATTGTGTATATGAAACACATTGGGGAAAACAGGGTACATGTAAGAGAAAAAAGAATCATTCACCCCCTTGTGGGTAAGATAGGGGAATCTCAACCCTCGGGGAAAGATTCTTAAGTTGCCAAACACTCGGCAAAGCCTCGTGTTTGGCAACATAATAATCTTTCACCCCCTCGGGCTGAGATTCCCCTATCACACCCCAAAGGGGGTGAAAGATTCTATTAATCTCTTACCCTGGAAAGGTGTACCACACTTTCCCTGGTGTGAAATATCCTTGTCTTATCCGAGGGTTAAGTCGAAGAAATACTTCACTCTTGACAATTGCATGACGTCTAGTCACAAATACAGTGACGTAACGTCAATAATACATTGAGTCAGTTGCATTAGGGTTATAACGGGGTCAACAGGATAAGAGGAAAAGAATCCTTCACCGAAACAAACTAAAATTAAACTAAACCCTTCAGGTACATGTATGTGGAAAATTCGAACCTCGTATTTGGCAATTTAAGAATCTCCCCCCTCGGATATCTCACCCAAGGAGGTGGCATATTTTATTAATCTAGCATTGCTTTCCTTACTGCTGTTTTCACTCCTATTTATACTCTCTATCTATAATACATTCCCTTGAAGATTCGGCCACTGGACACCAACAACTATAGATCCCGAAAAAAACCACCAGACTTCTGTCGCTTTAATTCATAGAAATCCATTTCTTAAACCAATGTCCTTTTTATGAAAAAAATCATATCCTTCTACAATTTCGATATCTTAAGGAACATACCTAAAGGTATACCTCAATCATATCAATACTGATACGTTCTTCGTATTCATGTAACTGTTGTGAGGATTTGTATACAGTAATGATAGTTCCTAAATGTATATAAGTCAAACGTTGGCTTTGGAATCATCATCCTACCATTGTACGATCTTTCTGTTCAACGACGATCTTCCAACTTGGAAAATAAGTTTCCCGATTTACGGTTCTCTCTTAGTCTCTCAATACATGTCTTGTTCGAGTTCCTTTCAATTAAGGTCTAATATTTCCCAAGGTCAGCGGTCGTTCGTAGCCAGTCCTGGTACGGTGGCTTGCATGTAACAAGCATACACTTCATTTGATTCCTCTTTCTTCATGTTCATATTTAGCAGAACGATTATCCACGTATGTTTTCTCTTTGAATGCTAATACAATCAGTGATATCTCCTCCATTTGTTCTTCATTGAGCTATATTTACATTTGCATGGCATTGTCACTATATAGCCTCTTTGAAAGCTGTGTCGTTGATGGGACTTTAATTACCATGCCGCACGAGACATAATTACCATGCCGCACGAGACACAATTCTTAGCGTATTAATTACAACACTGACCGGAACTACAATATCCAATGTAAATAAACATGACGGCTGCTGAAATATCGCTGGGCATTGTGAGATTTGATAATGTCATTGTAAATTTATGTGCAAAATAAAAAA